AAATGATCTTTAGGGTTCCCTCCAACCCAAAACATTCTGTGGTTATTTGGTTTTATGAGCTGTGTTCATGTGTGCAGTTCCTTTACTGTCTCTTATACTGGTGTTTTTAGTTTGGAAAATCGGATAGTAATAAGTCTTCCAAAACCATCAAACCCCCCCCAAACCTGTAAACTACGTGAGATACAGAAAGAAATCTAGATGCCAAAGTACTACCAAGGGAGACCAAGGACACCAGCAGCAAATTAGACTGAATAATAGTTTGTAATGTAGCAGTTCAGAAAACATGACTGAAACTGTTTACACAGAAGTGTCATGTCCTTGATCAGGTTTCTCTGGGTAGTACTTTGCATCTGAAACATTGTGTATAGACTGTTCCTGTCAATAACCAGTGAGGGAATCAAACAACAACAAAAAAACCTCAGTCAAGCTGTCAGCTGTTCATGGAAGGCACTGGAAAGGATTCATGATTAAGTGGCTGAAATGACTGAATAATGAGGAGTAATTAGAAGGCTAATTTATGACTAAACATTTAATTTTGATGATGGAGGTCAATGGGAGTTTAATCATTAACTGTGAAGGAAGATTTATCAGTCCTCAGTAGAAAGTTATTTACCGTTATTTTTGTCATCATCTTACCAGAAACTATTTTGACATTTATGAAGTATGTACAAAAAAAAAAAAAAACCCACAAAAACAACAACAACAAAAAAAAAAAACCTTTCATATGAGGGCTGTAGTTGGAAGAGAAGAGACAAAAGTGAATCTTCCCAACGGTATTTCCTAAAAAAGTGACGCAAATCTAGGTCAACACGTAGGTAAACTGTGGCAGTCAGGGCATGTAGAAAGAAGAAACCAAACCTCCAGTGACTAGATGACCAGACAGGATTGAATTGAACTTCCTCCATGATTCTTTTATATGACTTTATGCAATCAGTATTGCATTGTTCCATGAAGAAAACATTATAATAATAAGTATTATTGTCAGCTCTATATCCTTTAAGGCAACTGTAATAATTTGAGACTAACCATGCCTCTCCTTTATTAGGGCAAAAATGTTTCTTTCATATTTCATAATTGATGGTAATTTCAGCAAGATGATTTTTCTCAAAACAATACTTTTGCATTCCTAAAAAAAAAAATGGTTTTGCTTACTTCTACTAGCATAATGCACATCCTGCCTGACTTTAGATTCTTATCGTACAGCTGCTCCATTAGAATCAGTAACCTTGTGTGTCTATGATCAGTGAAGAGCAGAAAAATACAGACCATGATTCATATTATGATGTGTGTTTTTTTTGTCTAACATGAGAAGAATGAAATGCTGGACTTTTTTAGTCTTCTATACTGATTCCCAATAACCATATAACATATATATGAGATTAAGTGAAACCCACCCTTATTCAAACACCAAAATATTAGCTGATATGATTAAAGCCATGGCTTTTTCGTCCTTGAAGAAAAGAGAGAAGACTCTAAAGGAATTAGACAGGAAAATTTCCTGAGCAACCTTAAATGGACTTGCTATGGGAGTGAATTTGAAGTAGATGACATCCAGGAATTAAGCTACCTCACGTGTTTCTGTGAAATAAATTACACTAACTGTAAGCAAATGTCCTGAGAACAGACTAAACATGGTGATACTTTCCTAATTCATAAAAAAAAATGCAGAGGATATATTTGAATGTTTATTTTATCATTACTTCTAGTTTCATCAAAGTAAAATATGAGAGGGAACTGTTAATCAGTTTTAGGTATATATGGTCTATTTCCTCTGAGAGATAAAGTTCAGCCTTCATTGTTTTTATGAAAAATTTCATGCTCTCTTTATCACCTATTTAATTTATTTTCTCATTAAAAAATGCTTTAAATCCTTATTCTTCACATATTCCAAGCTGAGAACCATTTAGGGACATTTTTCAGCCACGTCCTTAGTTTGGTAAATAGCTAAGCCTCTTATTGTTGATTTGTTGACAAAATTAGAAAAGGATAATTAGTCAGGCAGAGATGAATAGGCTTCAAATTTCACCAAGAGCAAGAAGTGCATTTCAAAGAAATAACTCTAAGTCCTATTTGAAACATTGTTTACCAACTATACCATAACAGACCCTAAACTGTCTCTAGTTGTTCTTAGAGTTTGTCTATTTAAATGGACAATAAATCATACATTAATGAAAAGCAGGCATATGGTTCTAGGAAAGAAAATAAACAAATTGAGTGTTTCTCTGTTTTATAAAGAAGTGAAATCACCTGGGTAACATTTTGTTGTTATTAATTTTGTCTTCACAATTACTTATTTCCCCTTATTTCTAGCACATATTTTACCACTTAAATTTGGGTTTACACAATAGAAACTGTCTTCAACCTCTCTTAAAGCAGTACCTACAGCTTTCAGACAGAGATCAGTGTCCCATTACACTAAGTATTGTCCACAACAAAAAGGCCATCATAATTTCCAAGATTAAAAGGTAGAAAATATTCTTTCTGATATCCATAAGGATTATCTGATTGAATGTTTTTGCATGACAAAAGACTACAACACTTTCAGACAAAGTAGCTACAGTCTTGTGAGTTTTATAACCCATGTGTTTAGCAAATAAACCTCACATTTGTGGTTGTTGATTATTACTTTCACTATTATGGTGAAAAGTAGGTCTTTCCTTTGGCTAAGCATTTATTTTATTTTTCAAGATGTGTGTAAGCTAATGGTATGCTAATCAGGGTAATGATTTCAAAAAGACACTTTAGTAATCCATTTAATTAAAATAAAAGCTCATACTAATTATGAGGAAGCACATTATTATTTATCATTAGAGTTAGAAGGCATACTTACTGCAGTCCCTCCTCTAATTCAAATTATTAGGAAATCTGTGATATAATAAGCCCAACATCAAAGTTGTGGTGATAAATGCTAGTATTTTTTTAAAGTGAACCAAACCTTTTTCTTTTCAGCTGAATGGAATATATCAGTCATAAGGAAATGTAAATTTGTCTTGAAGTCTAATTTAAATCAATGATAATATCCAAAAGATAGTACATCTCCAAGAATGTATGTCTCCTAGTTCATGGGGGCTTTGGCTTTTGTTTGAGAAAAAATTATGATCATTATTAAGAATCTTTTGATGTCACTCTTTTGAATATATCAGAGAACTATTCAAAAGACATTGAAGTCACAGTGAATTGATGAAATCAATAGGAAATTTCCCATTACATTGGATAGTGGTGATCTACATTTCAAGGTGAACTGCTTTTTACTCATACCCATGGATGACAAAGCCAAAATTTTGGTCTCTCATACTCTAAAACTGGAAGCAGGTAGTGTCTCTAGGGAGATTTATATTTACCAATCTGTCTCCTTGGCTATTTAAAAGTCTTGTTTGGGCATGTCCTGTCTGTTGTTCACAACGAAGATGTTTGGTTTGTGTTCTCTGGGCATTAACACAGCAGCTGTTTATTCAGCTTTTGTACTTAGAGGCTGCAAACCACCTGGCATCACGTTGCAACTTCCAGATTGAACCCTGGTAAACCAAAAACAGAGGCTTTCTCATATCCACCATCCAATGACCTAGAGACTGGTAATTCATCTGGCACACTGTAGAAACAGCTCTCAGTTCCACCTGAGGTATTTGTGTTTGTATCTGCTATCAGCCAGCTTTAATCAATATCCTGATATTTGAATTGCTCATTCCTCCCAAATTAAAACATTGCCTGAGATTAGCAATAAATATTTGCATCCATAAAGAGAGAAAATGTTGCAGTGTACCTAATTCTAAATCCTTTTAAATAGAGCATATAGGAAAGGAGAGCTAGAAGTTAGTTCAGGTTCAATAAGTACTTAATATAACGCTAAAAATATCCAGTTATTTCCTGGACGACTCTGTTTTTTCAGTCTTTCATGTTTGCGTCTTCCAAAACAAAACAGAAGAATAATTAGAAGGTGGCTAGGCCAGGAAGTATTTTAAAATCATCCAGCTAACAGACATGTATTAGACTTGCAACCTAGGTGACCTGGTGACTACAAGTTTAGGAGATATGGCTACCTTCTTATCTTCCAGATATGATCCATAAATAAGGACTGGTATATGCTCCTATCTCCAAGGGAAACCTGATTCTTGTGAATCCAGAGATGACAGAAAACATAGAAGATATTGTCATCTCCCATTTTGGATTGGTTTTCAATTGACTCATCCTGTCTCAATTTGATTAATACTTATTCAGCTTGCTAGTAGCCTCCAGAAAGCAGAAGACTTTCATTTCTGGAGGCTTGGCATTGGTTTAGCTCTTTGCTGAGTTTGGACATTCATTATGCCAGTTCAATTGAAGACACTGCTGCATTTTACCTTGGAGAACTTAGTCCAATATATAATCATGATAAAGGTGATCTGTGCAAAAACTTTGAGCAAAAACCTGTAGAATGAAAGCTTTCTGTAGTTTTGGGAATAAGAACTACAAGAGAACATGTCAATATTTTGAGTGTAGCATAAATTATCAATTCTGTATCCTAAAAAATTTGTAAAAACTAAGATATGATGGTCAAAAATCATTCTAAGAATAATTACTGCAGATAGGATGAAATGACAGAGTAATGTCTGTTATGTTCAGAACTTTTTCAGCACAAAGGGAAATCTCCATGCTCTCTCTACATAATTGATGAGACGTGAACATTTTCTTTATGCTCTGGCTGCTATAAAAGTATTTTCCTGTTTCCTTCCCATAAAAATCAAATAAAGACTACCTAGAGCTTAGAGTTTGTATGATTATGATTATTATCCCTTATGATGCGTTTCACTGAAATTAATTGCATTGAATTATTATGATGCTGTACAGCTGGCTGTTAAGGAACATGGCAATGAAACTGCATGGGTACAGAACATGCAGTCCTGTCATCCCAGACTGGTCAACAGACTTCTCTGCCAAGACTGTGATTAGCTCTTTTCACATACTTATGCATTGTCTTCTCTTATTGCAGCCAGACCCCTTAAATTTAGAGGCTACAAAAAGGGTGGCAAAATAAAACAAAATAAAAGCCAAAAAAAACCCACCAAAACAAAACAACAAAAAAAACCTGGTAGTGCAAACAGGAAAGAAGCTCAGAGGAAAAAGACTTGTAACGAGGAGCACATTTACATTTTTGGCCATGAATGACCACCATTAAATCTGCACATGGAGGGGACCTGCTGATACTGAGAATTAAGAATAATTTCATTTGGGACCTTCTGATACTGAGGATTAAGAATAATTTCATTTCAACAGCAAAACAGAGAACAATTCTCAAACCACTACAAAAAATATTAATGTACATGATGTATTGTGGGACCCTTTAAGAGCATCCTCAATAAAAGGATGAAGGATAAAATGAAGGTTTAGTCTTCAGTGCTGTGAGTGTTTTGCTTATTTAAGGGAACTCCTATGGACAGAACTATTAGGTGATCATAAGGGGAAAAAAAAATGAGAGATGGGTAGCATCAGAGCTTATCTATGGAAGTGAAATGAGCTGGGTGGGCCACTTGTGGGGCTTGGCCGGGCTGACTGTAGCACAGTATTTCCCTGCGGAGTTCCTCTCCAGTTTCTTTCACTGTAAGAAATGACCAGCACCTATGGAGATAAACTGTCAAATTGTTAAATAATCCTCTCTTGGTCTGAATTAAGAGTCTTGATACATTTATATTTATTTATATTTATAGTTATTTTTGGACATGTATTAATTAATTCTCCAATCAAAATTCATACCTTATTTTGCCTTTGACAAAGAACCATTTTTTTGATTGTTGGTATTGTTGGCTGTTGGGGGTATGCTACTTTTTTTTTTCTGCAAGGGAATTTTTTATTTATGAACTTGGTCAGTTCTGTTTTCTGCTCTATGATGAAAGAAACATGACAGCATTTTCCGAACAAAAACATGCAGTTTTGTTGCTGCTGCTGCTGCAGTGTGGAACTATTGGTACTCTTTGTACAATCAGAAGTTGCTCATGGAAAAGAATGGAAAGATTAAAGATACAGTGGGAACATGTGAAAAGTATTGCTACTTTTGTAATTTTTTTTATTGCTGAAATAATTTAAAAGTTTTTGGTTTTAAGCATATAACAGAAATCTTCAATTTTAATAATTTTCTAGTATCCATCAAAAGTCATTTAGTAAGTGTTCATATTTAAGAGATATCCTGTATTAGAAGATGCTTGCTTCTTCCAGACTACTTTCAGTACTGCAAGAGTCATAATGAAATGTCCTTTCATGAACCTCAAAATTCTGAAGAGGTGGGAATTAAAAAGATTCATTTTAGGCTTATACATTTTTGTCAGCTCAAAAATCTTGTCCATACAGAAAAATTAATTGAAATCCATTGGGGGCTATATAATCTACTTATGTCTTCTGGAATAGACGTAAATTCTTCAGGTACTTTCACACATTTCAAAAGAGTTGTGTCAAATTTTCAACAAAGAACTAGTGTTTCAGTTAAATTTTAAATGTCTGTGCAATCTGTTCCTTCTCAGTAGGTTGTTGTCTGAAGAGAAGTATCACGGACCCTAGCAACACTTTGAATTTTCTCCCAAATCTCATTGTATCTGGGGAAATATAATATGCCTAAAGTCATGGGTGGTCATTTGTTCTGTTATTATGCAATTATTTTTCAATACCCTGTATGCTGGAGACCAGTGAAATGGAACTCTAATTCAGTCTTTTAATTAAGCTCAAAAATAAAATCTATGCTAAATTGAAATAATAGCAGTCAGACAAGCAAAGTATCTGTTCCATTCAAAGTATCTGTTTTCACATTCTTACACTGTTTTGAAAGTCTTACACTTTCACAGTATAATCCTACAGTTAAACTTTGCTATATTAAGAAAAAACATTTAGCAACCTTTCAACTATGGGAAGATGATTGGAAAATGTGAAAACTTTTCACATGATGAACTAGTTCTTCTGCTGTGAGTCAGGAGGATAAGCCATCTAACTTCTTCCTGACTGAGATGATAGCAACATCACAAGCCCTGAAAGAAAAATAAAAACTGTTGGTCAGACTAGTTTGTGACATACACAGTTAATTGATATGCTTTGTATTTATACTTTGCACTAGAACATCCTCTGGGGTTGGATCCACTTTTTTCTTTGCACTGAAAGCTTTTCAGTGCCTACTGTTGCTATTGAGCATCAGTAATTCCCCTTAACATATAAAAAAATCTGTATTAATGAATACAATCATAGTTAATATAGCAGACAAAAGGACAAAGTGGGTGGATAGTTTACAATTCATTTACTTTCACAGACTGACTAAAGTCTTTTGACTAAACAATTAATATTAAAATAGCAAAAGGGAAAGAAAAAGAGAGGAAAAAAATAAACAACACATTAAAGTCTCATAAAAACCCAAATATAACAATTACAATGCTAATTATCCATTTGATCACTGCAATTCTCGACAGGCTGATTTGGTTTTAGTAAAGTAGAAAAAGATGAATTCTCAAATTGCATTTTATTTGCTTTGCTTCTTATAACTGTTGTAATTTCATCATAAGTAATTAAATGAATAAGTATATATGTGTACATTATACACTTTAACCGATTCAGAAAAACATCAGGTTCCCCAAAGCGAAGCTGCACTACTCTTAGTATTTCTTGAACAACCAACTTATCCTCAAGTAAGTGTGTCCAAACACCTTAGTTAGTTACCAAATATCTGTTTACTTGTTACTAAGTCTAATCATACCACATTAGTCATTGTCTAAGTGTAAAGTAGTTAAGTTTGGTCCAATCTGTGCTGGAAAAAGTTTATGGACAGTCATGGTGCATCTCATCTGGAAAGATTTTACAGGCACAGTGAAAGGATACGAGAGGATTTTTTGTGAACTCTTTTTAACTTGGATATCTGAGTGGTCTTCTCATGTCTCACTGGGTATTTGCATTATGAGATCCTAATTTCTTCTCTGTCTTTTGCCCCATCCTGGTATGTCTTTGTAGATGAATCTGCTCTGTAGATGATTTGGGGTGATCAGACATGCCTGTTTGCAAATCCCTGCTTCATTTATCAAGAGGTTTAAAAGCATATAGTGAATGAAGGCAAGAAGAGTAGAAAGAGACATTGCTATCTAAAGAGCCATTTCTGTTCTTACATGAAGCAAATTTTCCATGGATTATTGATAAAGTTTTTAAACAAGCAAAGTTTGTTATTTCAATAAGAGCTTAACTATTCCAGGCAGCCATTCTGATATTCTATGTCTATGTTGATGGTATACCCACAGCTGCATCTTCTTGTGCTTGGAATAGTTCTCTGAACAAAAGTCATGCAGCAAATAGGCTAGACTGATGAGAAACTATATATCTTTTGGTAAACCAAGAAGATTGATATGTTTGTTCATTTTTTATTAAAGTCTCAAAACTCTGATCTCTAGCTGTAAAACCTGACCACGCAGTAAAAATAGTCAGTTTGCAGTACAAAAATTTCTAGGGCCTTGGAAAGAGAAAACAGAGAGGCATCCAACATGATCTAAATAATGCAATGACTGAGTGGAGCATAGCAGAGTAAGTGTGAAGCAAATTTTCTCTCATGTTGATAAAAAAATGAAGTCTTGCAGAGACCCTTTTTTCTTATGTGTTATAATGGAACTAGCATGGAAACTAGCCAAATTCCTAAGGGCTAAGGAAGCCAGAGCTGAGAGAGTGTAAGAGTTTTTTTTACTTTCAGAAGAGGGTGACACTATGACAGATGCTATAAAAGTTATCTTTATATTATCTGATGACTAGTTGCTAGAGAACAGGATAATATACTGCAGTGTTTGTGATGGGAGAGCTGATTTCAGGATTATGAGTAGCAGAAGTTGACTTTCTGATTTCAGTCCATGCTAACTGTCCTCATCTCAGCTGGAAGAAAGTGAAAATAAATGATTGGCATTATGCACTCAGGCAAAAGATTTCAAGGCTTGCCATGCAAGGATGCTTCACTGCTAAGTACCTCAGCACTCTTTGCTCTGGAGTGTTGGACATAGCCAAATATGAATGCTGCAGTTCTGTGTGGATAATCACAGCTCCAATAATGAATCTTATACACATGTGAGAAGCAAATAAACCAACATCCTGTGTCTCCAGTGTAAAAACAAACATCCTCAAATCTTCCTACCTCTATTCAGCTGGAAAAACTCTGATTTCACTTGTAATGCACAAATCACAGAGATACCATCTAATATGGCATGAACCTAAGATACTGAATTGCAAACGAGCAGGATTTGCCAATGATTAAATTATCATTCAAGTGAACTTTGCAAAGTGAAGAAGCATGAACAGGTTGTCTTTGGAAAGTTCCGTTTGGATGGACAAGTTAAATCAGCCTTTTTGAGTTTGTACAGGCTTCATTTTTTGTGAGTTGTGCTGTTGTGTCGTCATTTGTACCTGTACAGTTCCATTTTGTTTGATTTATTTTTTCAGTAGACCATGACAAAATTGAAATAATTCCAGCAAATGTTTCCAAAACTACAAGGAAGTGTCCCACAAAATAAGAACAGATTATTGTTCTAAAATCACAATTGCAGGGCACAGTCAGTATAAGAAAAGACTGATTATTTCTATAAAATACACTATTAGTTTCTAAGATTGAAATTTTTTTTCATTATACTATTGACTCCCTAAGATAAAAAAAAATGCTGAAAATATAAAATTTGCAATCATATAAAAAGAGGTAATGTATGTGTATAAATGGAAAACAATATATCAAATTGGTAATTTCTCCAGATCAATACACAATGTCAACATGCAGTTTTAAATCTTTTTAAAGAAATTAGGATGGCATCAAGAGTAAAATCAGTATGTTAGTGCTTAATACAGTTCTGGGCAAAACTTCACAGCTCAAGAGAGTCACTCTTTTTCTAAACTCTCCCAACCTATTTTTACATTTGGTTAACCATGGACAGCAAGTGCCAGCTAAGCCACTCTATCACTCTGCCTTCTCAGCCAGGGGAGAGAAAATTAGATAGAAAAAAACTTTCAGGCTAAGATAAGACAGTTTAGTAGTGCAAAAGTGGAAGGTTACACACACACACACAAGCAAAGAGAAGAAAAAAAAATATTTCCTACTACCCATCAGCAAGTGATACCTGGATACATTCCAGGAAGCAGGGCTTTAGCATGTCTAGTAGTTGCTCTGGAAGGCAAATATTGTAAATAAAGAATGCCTCTCATTCCTCCTCTTTTTATTAGCTTTTATATCGGAGCAGATTCCCTGTGGTATTTAATATCGCTTGGGCCAGTTTTGGTTGGATGGCCTGGTTGTGTTCCCTGCCACCATCTTGCCCATCTCGAGCCTACTGATGTTGGAGGGGGATGTTGAGAGACAGCCCTGATGCTGTTCCAGCTTTGCTCAGCAGTAACCAAAACCCTGATATGTTATCAACACCTTTGC